TTTGCAAATCACTGACTAACTTGGAAGGAACTGGAGAGGATTATGCTGAACGAACTAACTCAGTCTCATAAGGACAAATATTGTATAAAAGTATTATTGTAGCAAGAGAACTAGTAAAATGCTTATGAGGATCCAAGGGAGGGGGCAGAGGAGTGAAGGGAAGGGGGTAATCATAGGATGGCATAATTTGATGGGTTTAGGGAGAAAATGGGAAAGATCCAGTGTGAAACACATTGTGTACAAACTTTGTAAGTAAACCAGTATAATTTAAAGAAAAGAAAAAGTTTTACTAAAGAAAGCCAAATGTGTGTGAATTGCATACCTCCCCTCGCCTCTCTCCCCATGCCTCAGACTAGCGTTGATCTGGCCCCTGTTCCATGAATTACGCAAGATATTTTGTCAAATGTTGCTCAGCGTGATCACGCAATGCATCTGGGGAAGACATTTCCTCTTGGTCGTCCTTCAGCACTACTCTATATACAACATTAACCTGGACTGTTGTCCCTGTTGTATCCCACTACCCAGAAAGTCAAGTCCCCGTATTCCTTCATCCCTTCCCCCACTGAGGACAGGCGAAGGCCTCAGAAATTTCCCTGTTGGCCCTTCGAAATCCAGCATTTATGTATGTGCCCCATTTTCTCAGGGTCTTCCTATGTCACTGGTTAGTTAACTGGAAAGATTAATTCCAGCTGCGAACTAGTAATGACAGAAAATGCCATGCTTGTTAAATTGCAGGCTGGACTGGGAGGGCAGCCAAAGCCACAGGACAAATACGGAGCATTAATATTGATATTTAAGCTTCCTCAAAATACTTCCATATACATCATCTTAATGTTGGCCTCAGGAAAAAAAAATCGTGTTAAGGGCCATGATATATCCCCTTCTGGAAAATCTGAATTCAAATCGTATTACCTAAAATAAAATGCACTGATATTTGTCACTGAAAGGTTAGTGCATTAAAAAGTCAAGAAGCAAATATTACTCTTAAGAAATCATTTTTGATGAATGATTAGTTCATCTCAAATGATTTTAAAACTTATGGTTATTTTAAAAACAAAGGTTGTTATATAATGACATATGACTATCCTGGGAGGGCAGGGGAACAGGAGTAACTTGGTCTTATAAGAATATGAGGGGTAGATGCTGCAATTTGCTCTATATTATGTAATCTGATAAGTAGTTGATTAAGATCCCAACAAGAACAAAAAATGTTTTTTTTAAAAATCTGTTTAACAGAGATGGAAAAAGAGTTGTAAAGAAGAATCCCTATCTCATATGAATGTTTAGCAGAATTATTGTACTGCAACAATAAAATTATTATAAAGTTCTGAAGGAATAAAAACCTTTCTTTTTTATCCACATTCCAAAGAAAAAATACTAGAGATTCAAACATAGGCAGTTTGGGACAATCTTAATGACCCATTCAATCACAGCATGGTTCATTAAATAGATTGTGCCAAGTTAAGATGAACTTAGAAATCAAATCAGCTGAAAAACAGCTGATTAGTTGGTATGGTTGAGCACCAACTTGGTAAGCACAATAATTTTTCCAGATTTTAATTTCATTAATTAGGACTTCATGAATGCAAATAATGAGAATTTTACAAAGACTCAAATTTTGTATGATCTATGAGGAAAGTATTTGCTAAGCAAATTGACAGATGAAGAAGATCCAAGAAATGTCTAATCTTTTTACATGGGTTTTCAAAAACTCTAATAGCAACCAGTTGTACTAAAGCAATGAATGTGCTAATTACAGATGTGCCATTATTCCATTCCTTCGAGCAGATTAAGCAAGGCATCCACTTGGTAGAGCTTTTCACTTTGAGGAACTGAAAGTACTTAGAGATAGACTTTCATTTTAAAAAAAATAATAAAAATTCCAATTTCATATAGCTCATTATTTCTCCAATTTGGAAACGCTGCTCATCAAATTCACCCTGGGAAGTACAACAGCTGCCTAGCATAAAGCTCTGGTGCAAAATAATTAATTTATAAAACAGGTGTTTCTCTTATTTCTTTCCTCTTTCTCATCATTGAAGCAAAAAACTCATATCATCTATAATGCAAATGCATTACCAGTTCCCTAACTGCTTAAAATTTACTGAATCTTCTGTATAAGGGAAATTTAGTCTGCAGAACATCGGCATGGGGTGAATTATTGGTTTTCAGTGTTAGCTCCACTCAGAAACACCACAGCAGAAAGAAGAATCCAAAAGGGACAGTTTTGTTTCTCTTTTTAAAATTACTGTCTGCCACCCTTCTGTTTTACAGCCTACATGATTTGCCTTCATTTATGACATTTTATTCTAAAAGTCATACACATAATGTGAACTTTGCTGGGATGCCTTGTAGTAATGGACTTGGATGAACAGTGGCATACCACTATAGTGACCTAACTTGGCAATGGTTTCCATTTCCCTCTGTAGTAATAGTTCTTTTCCTTCAATACCTATTCTCCTTTATATTTGTCCAAATTTATTAAAGGTTAAATATTATTTAGTGATGTTAGTGATGGTGGCCTAGTGGTTAGAAGTTACACTGAAAACTCAAAAAGTATATAGTTTGAATCTACCAGCTGCTCCACTGGACAAGATGGGCAGTCTCCTTGCATTTGATTTACTGCCTCTGAAAACTGGCTGGAGGGTCAGCTATGAATCAGTTTGGACTCTACGGTACATGGGACACTGTTGTTGTTACATAACAACATTACATTGTGAATTGTAATGACAATATTATTTTGTGAATTTAGAGAAAAAGACAGAAAGATAATTTGTTATGCTTAATATTATAACGCATTCCTGATATTTGCAGTTATTCTGAGAGTGAAAATTCATGTTGCATAATGTCTAATACAACCACAGCTCAATATCCTTAACAAATAAAACACACAAATACTTAATCCTATAAAATTAAATCCAGTAATATATTAAAAATTTACACAATAACCCAGTAACATTTTATCCTGGCAATGAATGAAGTATATTAAAATCAGCACAATACACCATGTAAATACAATAAAGGGGGGGGGAAATCACACATGATCATCTAAATAGTTACTATTTTTGTAAATCAGAGCCCTTGTTCAAATTTGTATGCTGTTGTATTGTTGCATGCATATATTAAAAACCTACAGCTAACATTACACTTGAAAAAAAAGAAAGACTTAAAGCATTTCTCCCAAATTTGGTGTCTGCTGTCATCATTTCTATTCAACATTATACTGGAGATTTTACCTAGTTCAATTAAGTCATTAAAATTTTTTAAAAAAGATTTAGATTGAGAAGGTAAAAGTAAAATTATCTTTCTCTGAAATAGATTCTGTGTAATAAAATGCTAAGTATTCCACACACAAACAATTAGAGCTAATAAGTACAGCAAAGTTTACAGCACATCAACTAAATGGTTAAGAGCAATTGTATTTCTATATACTAGTAGTGGATAAAATTAAATTAATAATTCCACTCACAACAGTATGACAGGAACAGAGTATTTGGAGACATATTTAAGGAAAATACTAGTATAAGACTAGATATGTAGTTGAGTGAAGTAGAATTGAGAATTCTAGAGAAAAAATCTACTGTATGATAAATTGATTTTTTTACAAAATTCCATGATAATTTAAGAAAATTTTGCTATTTAACTGCCTTGAGAGTATCAACTCATGGCACAAAAGTCATATTAGCCTAATTATCATGTATATTGTGAGGTAGGTTATTGTTGTTATGTGCCATCGAGTTGTTTTCAACTCATAGCAAGCAACCCTATGTACAAGAGCCCTAAACTCCACTCTATCCCGTGCCAACCTAACCATCTCTGACATACTCATTCCCACCAACCCAATCATAGAATTGATCCATCTCATCAAGGGTCTTCCTCTCCTGTACCATCTCTCCACTCTTCCAAACATGATGTCCCTCTCCAAGGACCAGTCCCTCCTTGCAACATGCCCAAAGTATGTCAGACAAAGCTTCAGAATCCTTGATGCCAAGAAGCACTTCAGCTTCATCCTCTCTAGGACAAACCTGTTTGTTCTCCTAGCAGTCCTTGGTATAGTCACCACTCTTTTTCGGCACCACAGCTCAAAGGCATTAATTCTTTTTTCTATCATCCCTAGTCATTGTCCAACTCTCCAATGCATAGCAAGTAATTGCAAAGACTATAGCCTGGATCAGGCACACCTTAGTCTCCAGCCTGACATCATTCCTCTTTAGTACTCCTGAGAGGTCCTTCATAGCTGAATTTCCCAATGCAATTCATCTCTTGATTTCCTGGCTGCTAGTACCAAGAGTGTCGACTGTGGAGCCAAGTAAACGAGAACTGTTAACTATCTCGATCTCTTCACCATCCATACTAATGCCGCCAATTGGCCCAGTGGAGAGAATCTTTGTTTTCTTGATGTTGAGCTTCAATTGGTATTGAAGGCTGCAGTCCTTGACCTTCTGTAGCAAGCACTTCAGATCCTCCTCAGTTTTTTTCCCTACATACCAGTATCTTGCTCTGGTTGTTGGTGCATATACTTGAATGATAGTGGTATTCACTGGACTTCCTTGTGTGCATATAGATATTATCCTGTCACTCACAATATTGTATTTCAAGATGGATCTAGAAATTACTTTTTTATCCCAGAGTGGGTTAAATCAGGCTGGCCCTTGGAGGCAAGGATTCTGAGGCTTCATCTTACATACTTTGGACATGTTGCAAGGAGGGACCAGTGCTTGGTAGGGTGAAGGGACAGTGCAGGAGGGGAAGACCCTCTATGGGGTGGATTGATTCAGTGACTGAGGTAATGAGGGAAGGTGTGTTGTTTTGTTTTGTTTTTTATTTTGCAACACTTTTAATACACAAAACAAAGATAGCAGGCTGGCTGGGCGACCAGCCTTCAGTCTACATGCAGAGCTCAACCCAGCGGGGAACATGTCACAGTTCTCAGCCTTTGCAGCCAAGAGCAGGCGTCACTTCCCTTCGCAGCCATGGGAGTGGAGGTTCCATTTCTGACTTCAGTCCAGGTACTCTGTCGGCTGCTCAGTGGGCCGGTGTGCCTGCAGCACCGCGACCGCCTCTTCTATCTTGGCGTGGAGGGACTCTGGAGACTCCAGCATGAGCAGCAGATTCGAGTTGTCAATCTCAAGCAGCATGCCAGTGATCTTGCCTGCCAGGTGGGCGTGGATTCTTTCAACAAGAAGGTAGAGCCGTTCACCAATCGTCTGCTTTTGTTCATGCTGCAGGGCTGCAGCCAGCATGGACGCTGTCAGCAGTTCTTGTCTGTGCACTGGCGGCTCCAGGACCTGGACATGGGGCCGCTGGGAGGTGAGGACTGTCGAGGAGTATTTGTAGGACAGGAGTTGTCGGGATGGGATAGCTCCTTCCACCCCCTCAGGTCCTGTGGTCTGAGTACCAATGTTGATCGATGGTCTAGGTGGCTGCGCCGTCCACCTGGGGGCAGGTCGGATGGGAGTGATGGGGCCAGAGCCGGGCTGGGGCTGAGGCACGGCAGGTAGGAAGCAGTTGGTGGGCTGCTGGAAGGAGCCCAGGAGGGGGTTGCCAAGGGCCCGCAAGGTGGAGACGCGCTGCATGTACTGGTTGGACAGGATGGCCCTCCGCTCTTCCTTGCGCTGGGCCAGCACCACATACAGCGGCTTGGTGCCGATGATGCGCCGGTTCATCTCTGTCACGGCTTTGGTCGCCACTTCTGGAGAGGAAAAACACAAAAACCCTTTGCTGTGGCCACCCTCTGTCATCACCTTTGCACTGGTAATCACTCCGTACAGTGAGAACTCTTTCCTAAGTTTCTCATCATCGATGGAGTCATCCAGGTTCTTCACATACAGGTTCACGTCCTGGTAGTGGTTCATCCTCTCCTGCTTTATCTGCTCAAACTTGCGCTTCATATACAAATCATGGATTTCATCTAGAGTGCACTAAGGACATTTAAAAGCCAATAACAGACAACCAATTTTAAAATGGTGTAAAATATCTTTCTTTCATAGGGTCGCTATGAGTTGTCTACCACTTGACAGTAATTAACAACTACAACAACAACATAGAGAGCGCTCAGTTGGCCTAGTGAACAGAAAATGATGCTACCAAACCAAAGGTGGGTGACATTAATCTGTAGTCCCCAGGCCTAGTTTTAATTGTTTTTGGTCAAACATTCATCTAAGTGGCATAGCACTGGTCTGTCCATTTGCTGTACAGAGGTAACGCTGTACAGAGGTAACTTGTGTTTGCTGTGATGCTGAACACTGTAACACTGATATGTCAAATGCAGTAATGTTTCCCATGGTAGACAGTGTTTGGTAGAGCTTCCCGATTCAAACAAGCTTGGAAGCAGGAGTGGCATCCACTTCCAAAACGGCTTGCCTCTGGAAACTCTATGAATTTGCTAAAATGATGAAAGTTATACAAGTGTCTAGGTCTTTTGTTCATAGAGTCACTAGGAATCATCTACAACTTGATGGCACTTAAAAAGAACAATGACATTTCTCCAAAGAATATATACCAATGGACAATAAACATAAAAATATGGTCAAGTGCTTCTGTCATTAGAGATATAACTCAAAATCATATTAAGCTACTAATTCACAGCTGCTTAAAAAAACACCCAAATCATGCTACAGGATCCATTCTGACTACTTAAACTTACAAGTAGAACCTCCAAAAGGGTTTTCAAAGTTGTTTGCAGAAATATTTGTTTCCAGCCTTGCTTACAGAAAGTGAGGAAGACTTGAAAAATTTACTAAAGAGTAAAGACCACAGTTTCATGTAGATTGAATCTCAACATCACCAAAACAAAAAAATCCTTACTATTGGACCAACAGACAATATCATGAGAGGTGGAAAAAGGATTGATGTTGTCAATTAAATCAAAAGATGTGTTGCATGGGGAAAATCTGCCATGAGTGACCTTTCCAAAAAGTAAGTATATTAGTTTAACGATTAAAGTCTGCCTGAATATGTCCTGATCTTTTAAATTGCTTCCCATATATTTGAAAGTAGCACAATAAATAAGGATGTCAGAAGGAGAATCGATGCCTTTGAATTGTGGTGTTGGTAATAAATACTGAAAATGTCAGGGACTACCAAAAGAACAAGCAAATCTGCCTTGGAGAAAAATGCAACTAGGAAAGTGTCTTTACTCTTTAGAAGCTAGGATGGAATGTTTCCCCCCACGTACTTTGGTCATATTATAAGGAGAGGTCAATAATTGGAAAAAGAAACGATGCTGGGAAAGGTGGAGGGTCAATGAAATAGAGGATAACCCTCGATGAAATGGACTGACCCAATGACTATAAGAATGAGCTGGAGAATGTGGGACATCAGGAAACTGACAGGACAGGGCAAGGTTATTTACAGAGTTGCTTAGAGTTGTAGTCAATTCGTTGGTACTTAACAACATCAAAAATATATTTATTTTGTGTTTTAACATCTAGTACACTCCTTTTTATTGTTCTAAGTATTTTATTGTTATCTAAACCTAATTTTTTTCAATTATTTTCCTATATGTATAGGAATTTTACAGTCTATTTCTAGAATAATGACTTGCTTTACTTTTTTTATGTTTATGCTATCTTGGAATTTTTAATAGCATCTAGATGTAATCTACTCTCATTCTCATTTACATCCTAACCGACCATCTTGAAACCAGATGTGTTTCTCAGATATCTAGGGTTACGCTTTGCTGAACTTTTGGGGGAGGGTGATATATTTTTATCACATGTTAGCAATCATTTATGCCTTTAATTCTTTTCTTTTCCAACTCTGCATTTCAGTTCCCAAAGCTTTGCTGGGTCTATACTTTGATTCCTGACTTGTTGAAAACTCGAGTGAAAGAAGAAGGAGATTTCTCACTATCCTACTGGGTAAGGTACTTGGGAAAAAAATTATGACAATTAGAATAAAGAAAAGAAAGTCTTAAGAGGTCTGAGTTGCATATATATTTTTGTATTAAAGTACTTATTTGCTATAAACTTAAAATTCAGTGAAAAATAATTCAAGCTTATACCTAGCCTACAGACTGCTTGTAAAGATGATAGCACGACATCCCTAAAATTCTAAGTAGCATAAAACTAACAGATTCAAGATTTATACTGAATTTTTCTATAGTTCTTTGTTCAGGAATATGCAAAACAGATAAACCCTGAAGAAGTGAAATAAATACACAATTAATTGCATTTGTCTTAAGATTCTCTGCTAGAACGAAAATCTTTATGTGGCATTTGTTGGGTGTTTGTTAGTTTGTTTGTTAGTTTGTTTGTTTGTTTTAAGGATCCCTGCTGGTGCAAACCAAAAGATTGACAGTTCAAGTCCACTAGTGGCACTATAGGAGAAAAAATATGGACAGTTTCTTTCCATAAAGATTTACAGCCTCATACACTTAATAGACCATTGCCATGAGTAAGAAGGAGTTGACTTCACAACAGTGAATTTTCATCTAAAGTCTGTTTGGGGTTTGTTTTTACTTCTATTGCCATAGTAAAATATGCTGAGATTATAATAGAATCACTGAAAATATTCTTTTTTTTTCCTCTGTCAAGGATGTGTGTCTACATCCCCAGAAGAAATGTATTTTTGTTAAGAAGGTCAGCTGTCTGGAGAAAGTTAAATTAATTAGACCTTTTTTTTTAACAATTGAAAAGTAAAGCTATGGTTTAAGAAACCTATTTTCTAGGAAACAATGTTAAAATAAGATCTAATCACATTTTCTCCAGGATCTCTATCATTTCCACAACAAATATGTACCCACTTATATTGCTTAAATGACCTTTTCTCAACCAGACATACCTCATCTAGGCATTATGGGTACCTAGACAAAAATGTCACTTGCCTAGACACAACACCCGTTGAAGCAGCAGTCAAGAAATCAAAAGATATATTGTGTCACATATATCTGCTGTCAAAGACCTCTTCAAAGTCCTAAACAACAAGAACATCATTTTAAAGACTAGCGTGTGTTTCAGATCTAAGTTCTGGTATTTTCTATTGTTTCCATTGCATCACAAAGTTAAACAATGAATAATGATGACAGAATAAGTATAAATCTTCAAATTGTGGTGTTGGTTAAGAGTATTGACTATACCATGGACTGAGTATACCAAGAACAAACAAATCTGTCTTGGAGGAAGTGCCGGCAGAGAGCTCCTTAGATCAAGGATGGGGGAGCTTCATCTCATATGCTTTGGGCATGTTGTCAGAAGGAACCTGTCCTTGGAAAAAGACATTGTTATGGGACAGATATAGGGTAAGTGAATGAGAAGATCCTCAATTAAATGGCCTGGCAGTGATACAACAATGGACTTGACAATGGCATAGGATAGGGCAAGTTTCCAAATCTACTTGTCATAGGTTTTCTATGAGCAGTGATTGAGTTAACAGCACATAACAATCTAACAACAGGGGGTGGAAATTACTAGGTGTAAATCAATTGCATTTGTTTGGACTGAAAGACTTGTAAATGAAAGGCTGAAACAGACTGACTGTAGCACTATTTAAAGTGTCATATTAACAAATAATTGCAATATTAAGTGATGACAGGTGGGCCATGACTTGCATTGATAAAAGATCTGCTTCCCAGACAGGATTATTAAAAGTTGTGAAAACAGGAATCATATATTTGTTGACATGGACAATTAATTAAACTCATGTCATTAACAAATAATTAAAGTAGGAAAACGAAAGTCAAGTCCATTAATCATTTTCAATTAATTATGACAATGATGTTAATAACAATTTCACATTGACTTTTGCATGAACATTTTAGAAAGGCAACATACATGTATCTGAATTTTAGGAACAGTAGCTCTCAATGTTTAATATTAATTAGGGTGAAGAGATTTACTAAAAATGTAAATTATTACTCTATTCACAGAAATTTAAACTATGTAGTATAGGGAATCGATTTAACACCCTGCCCAATTCCCTACACACACATAAAGTCATTCTGAGGAAAAGGTAGATAACATTTTAACACTGCTACTCAAGAAGTCAAACATTGACAAAAGTTTGAATTCTCATTCCATCTCCAATCCTTCACTTTACCAAGCATATGTCTTTCTTCAGAGAGTAGGCCCTCCAAAAAATATGTTCTAAGTATGAGATATAAAGCAGCATTTAAAAAAAAATTATCGTATTTTGTGGATGTACCATCAAATTGGATCTGACTGGTACAGGAGGAGATCAACCCTCCTCCAGCAGAGCATCTGGTGGATTAGAACCATGTGTCTCTGGGATTGCAGTGCAGCTTTTTGCCACTAGGCCACCAGACTCCCTCAAAGCATTATTCTTGATTCTAAAGGTCTTTGGGGAGTTAGGGAAGAAGAAGATAAGATAGATTGACACTATGACTTCAGCAATAAGTTAAAACAGTGTAAGTGTAGCAGTGATTGAGAGGATGACCCAGAATTGAATAGTGTTTTGTTCTGTTGTTTATAAGGTCACAATGAATTAGACCCAACTTGATGGTATCTAACAACATACAATCATGGTGGTGGTGCTGGTGGTGATGTACTATAGAGTCAGAGCCAACCCATAGCTGACCCTCCAGTGGATTTTCAGAGCAGTTAATTGCATGGAGGAGATTGCCCATCCTTCTCCCTCAAAGCAGCTGGTGGTCTCAAACTGTGGGCCTTTGGGATTGCAATGCAGCTTCTTGCCACTAGGCCACCAGAGCTGGTAAAAATAATTTAGTGATGGCCTGTTGACTAAATGGGTAGCAGTTTGAACTCAACCAGAGATGCCTCAGAAGACAAGTTTGAAGATCTGTTTCCACAAAGTCACTATCAGATATTGAGCTTCTCCACAGATTCCTTCCACAGAAATCAGTCTGATTCCTATGCAGTTCGTCAGGTGAGGTCCATGTGTAAAGTTTCCATTTGTATTTTTTTAAAAAGGAATTTGTGATTAATAAATCATTAAAACTACAAACATTGAACACTCACTTATTCTATTTCTGGCCTTACTAGATGGATGATAGTCTAGCATTATAGTAGGAAGAAGAGTGGCAAAGAATAATTTTCTTTTATTTCTCCTCCCTCCAATAATTTAATACAAAGATTGCCTAGAACTATGACAAAGATGGTACAGAAGTCTTTCTGGATGTCAACAGGAATAAAGGTAAGGCAATTCCTGTAGGGAAATAATAAGAGATTTGGATCATGAAATTATTGGGAGAAACAAAAACCAAAAATACTGAAACCTCTCTCATTATATGGCATGTTTGCTGAATTTTTAGCAAATTGGCTAAAATGAAAACAAAAGCACAACTGTATTACTTTTTTTTTAATTAAGAAATATGCACCCAGGAAAGATTTACATCCAGGTTGTGTCCTTTCACCAGACTTTTTCATTTATTATGTTCAGCAAATAACCCGTGATCTGGCCTAAATTTGGAATAATGTGACAATAGGATGAGAGTAAGATTCAAGAGCAAAATGGAATATGCATATAGTATAGCTTTGCTTGCTGGAAGTAAAAAGGACTTTGATAACCTATTGATAACAATCAAAGGTCTAGCTCATCAATATGGATTATACCTTGTCTTAGGGTAGGTCCTCCAGAAAAGAAAAAAAAAATAAAAATACATATATGAGAGATTTCAAGGAGGTAAATTATTCATTTGTAGAAACAGGAAAGTCCTGGGTCTGTGGTTCAGATCTTAGAAGAAAGGCATTGGAAAAATACCTCACTAATTTTGGATTGGGTAAATAGCTCACTTGTTTTGCAAGAGAGTTCTTATATGTATGTTCAGTATTTATCTCAGCCATGAGAGACTTTACAGAAGGTCGACCTAATTGTATCATTACATTGCTGGCTCTAATTTTGTCTCATTAATATCATAGCAGTAAAGATTTGCAACACAGAAGGTTGTGACATTATTTTGAGAATCCTGGCCATATTAACATAAAATAACCATCACAGTCAACCCTTTGTCAAGCTGGTAGTTATACACATCTCCTTAAAATATACATAATACTGCAATGAAACAGATGAAGGAGAGAACTGTCTAAAAGCAATATATGATTAGGTATTGTTGTCATGACAAGAGTCCAGAAGGAAGGCTGCATAGTGGAGTGAACTCAGGTGGGGGAATTTTATAACAATGAAAGAATTTCTTATACCTTTCAAAGAGAAGAGTGAACTGGGGGGAGGGGTGGGTAGGGAGAAAAATGCAACAAGGAATGAACGGAA